GAGAGGCCTGGGTGGGACAAGATGGCTCCACGGAGGTGGGCTCCCACTTTCTAGATGTCTCTCTCCCAGATGTCTCAGCGGCCAGAAGGGAATGAGCCTGGGGGAGGGAGGAGGAGGTGGGGGAGCTGTTTGCTGGTGGTGGAAGGAGGAAAGGGTGAAGGGATCCCGGAGGGAGGTGCTAATTGGCAAGCTTGCCATGGACCCGGAAACGGTAAATGCAGGTATAGTCCGGGTGACCCCAGTTACTCAATACTCGAAACTCTACCAGCTGGTATGGAGCTGTGCCGTTGCCCTGTGGGAAGAGGAGAGTGGAGTCAGGAAAGCCCAAGATCCCTTGGTGGACTCCCACAGCCCTTCTGCCCCAGGCTTCCATCAAAGACCAGTGGCTGAATTCAGCCCCAAGCTTATCCCTCAGCTTCCTATCAGACCCATTGGGAACTGGCTTCCACTGCAGCCACTTGCCAAGCCACCGCGTCCCAGTGGCTGGTGATCCAGCCCTGGACATCACCAACACGCCTGCATCCCTGCTGTGGGACCAACCCTCCATACCTGAAAGGGGAAGGTCTGAATGGCCTCCCCAGCATTCTCATAGGTGAATTGCCCCAGGGCAACCCCCTCCATCTGGGAATCTTCATTGAGACCCTGCACAGAAGGAAAAACAAGGGGAATAAATGGATGGACAAATGGATGGCTGGGAGTGCAGCGCATGAAAGGTCATGCTGTTAGGACAAGAATCCAAATCAGTCCATGGAGGGAAAATGGGGGAGGTGGCAGGGGGAGGAGGAGGCAGACAAGGCAGGATATATTGGGGAGGGGAAAGAGGAGCAAACACAATCCAACTTCATGTTGCCTGCCTTGATCCCCTCACCCTCTAGCATCTCTCTCACTAATTCAATAGACAGAGCCTTTCCCCTCCTAGGCCTCGGCCTTCTCAGCCTCTTCCCCAAAGCTGCTCAATGACTTGGGACAAACCCCTTCAAGTATGGGTGCCACACTTTCTTCATCTGTGTCAGGATTTGGGTCCTGAAGCATCCCTCTCCCCCTGCGTATTTCACCTTCTCTTCTGGCTCCATCTTTTTTCCCAAATCCTCCTTACAATGGACATTCCATCTCTGCCCTGACCAGGTGACTGTGTAGGGAATGGCAATCCCCATCCCTGCCCAACTCGTCCATGGGACACCTGGCCACTCAGGCAACTGGCTACAGTAAAGGACCCTAAGGCACATTGTAATCTTGGCTGTTCTTGCTTCTGTGGTTGTCTTTTCCTGGCTTCTCTCTAAGTAGAGGAGGAGGAACAGAAGGGCTGGGCCTGGAGTGAGGAGATCAGCCTCAATGTCTCATGTGTCAAATGGGCACAGCCTTGCATTGCTCACCTGGCAATGAAACGACTTTGTGCCACTCTAGAAAGGAGAGCTGCCAGGCTCAGGTACTCACCAAGATGACAAAGTCCTTTGGGGCACTGGGGATGTCACTGTTTGGGGACAGGGCTTTGGGCACGTGCTCCAAAGTGATGGCAGTGAGCTGGATCCAGGCAGACAAGCGCACCACGACAAAGCCCCGGGGGCCCCGGAATGCCCAGCAGTTGCCAGGGTACACATCTGGCTGTGGGCACAAGACAAATCAGCTGAAAGGAGGCAGCAGATGGAACAGATCCCGATCGTGGGGCCCCTCTGCCTTGAGGGCCCAGCTCCCATAGAGGAGGGTGGCAGATGGTACATAGAGAGCAAAGCTGGGGGACCTTTGTTTAGCCCTACCTGGAGGATGACTCTTGGCGACTGGAAATAGCGCCACAATGGGATGCCCAACAGAGTGAAATGGGCAGACCACTCCGTCCTGATGCCATATGTCTCTGAGGAGCCGCTACTGACAATGCTGGCTCCTGAAAGAGCAACATGGAGAGAAGTGTGTGGGGAGGGGAGGTCCTGAGAGTTGGGAGGACACAGAGATGGCTTAAGGCAGCCCTCAAGGTGAGGGGGTGCTGCCTGGGAATCACCCCTCTTAACTGCCACGGCCCATAGGGGGCATCTTGATTTGTCAATTCCTCCTGTCTCCTGAGGTCCATCCTGATTTGCCAATCCCTTTTGTCCCAAGCCCTCTGGCTTTCTGCAGGCCACCTACCTGAGGACTCCAGGGCATAATCCACAAGCCCGATTCGATCTTCACTGTGCTGTTTCAGGGCCTCCTTTATGATCTGGTTCACTTCCTAAAAGACAGGCATGCACTACTCAGGGGCCAGGTCACCTGCAGGGCTGGCCCAGCCCATGTGGGGGG